AACAATAATTTTTATTAATAAAGAACCCTGACGATTTACAAAAAAATATTCTGAATAAATCATACCTAAATAATATGAAAAATCTTATAGCATATGTTTCCCAAAATCATATTGCATTTACTAAATTATAATTTGTATCATAAATTTAAATCCCCAATATCATCAATTATATATCTTACCTGACTAATCAAACTTAATGGACAAAGCACATAAAATCTATGCTAAAATTGGGAGAGTAAATACTAACATTATAATCATGATAATATGTAACAATTTTTCATTAATTAAAATTTTGAAAAAGGAACATAAATATTTATTACAAAGTTAAACATGAATAAGAGCTCACAAAATTAAATATGAATGAGAGCTTACAAAATTAAATATAAATGAGAGCAAATAATTCCAAATAAATATTCATATATATAAAAAATTAAAATAGATATTTCAAAATATTAATTTCAAAATGAATCAAACATATAAGTTCATTATTAAGGCAAAACAGGAATGCATCAGAGTAAATTACAGGGCAATATACACCTTTAATTAAATCAAGATATTATAGTGAGACCAACATAATAGTACATTCTCCTTTGGGCAGAACGCACTAACCAAGATTGAACCAAGGCCAGAACCTCAGATGAGTTAATCAATGAGCACAACACTGAGTTTGAAAATCTATCCCCTTTGGGCAGATAGATTCCTAAACCAATGAGCCTCCAATAACTTCATCTACAATCTCAAGAAGAAGTTGCTAGGATGAGTTAATCATTTAGCACAACAGGTTGTCATAACAAGGCCAACATAATAGTACATTCTCCTTTAAGCAGAATGCGCAAACCAAGGTATAAACCAAGGTCAGAACCTCAGATGAGTTAATCAATGAGCACAACATTGGGTTCGAAAATCCATCCCTTTGGGCAGATAGATCTCTAGTCCAATGAGCCTCCAATAACTTCATCTACAACTTCATAGAAAATTTGCTCAAAGAGCATACACTGGCTTCAGAGATGTGTCCTCTTTGGGTAGACAGATCATCTATACCAATGCATCTCCATTAACCTCATCTCAAACAAATTTACAGTTATAACACACAATTACTCCATTTGGGCATGAAATTGCATGAAATAATCAAAATCATTCCCAAACAAATTTTGTATTTAATCAATTCAAGTGGAAGCATGCACCTCAATAAATAAAATATTAGAGCAAGCATTAGAAGTTAAGAGCAATCAACACTATATCATAAATGCAGCCAAGTCACATCATCACTTGATGCAAAGTATAACAAATTAATTTTGTTCATCATATTTTTCTTCAAAATATATATTCAGAAAAAATAATGAAATATAATGTAATGTTCAACATACATCTATCCATCAAAATCTCAAATCAAATATTGATAATAAAAAACCTGTCTAAATATAAACACACAAATATCATATGCGTTATTCAACAAATTTCTAAATTTTGATGTATATATCTAATTAACTAGCTCAACTCCCAATATAAATAAAAAGGTATCTGATAAAACTTTTCTCTTGAGCTCTAATTTCTTAAACACATATTGAATACACAAATGAACCATAATAATTAAGAGGGAGGAATAGTAAACAATTCTTCATAATATTAGATCAACAAGGTGCCAAAAGATATAATATCATCACAAATTTTTTTTATTTTTTTTTATTTTTTTAGTTCAACATGCCAATGCTCACCAACACACTCCAACTTCTAATTACAAAGTTCACAAATCAATTGTGTTATAATAAAATTTGTTTGGATAGCACACATAACAGCAACAGTATTATTTATTTTAAATACCACAAAAGCATGGAACCATAATTATCATTCAACGCATGAAATATTGAACAAAACAGAACATTTAATGGTGTTTCGAAATGGTATCAAGGCATTGAATGCAAATTTTTTATTTATTTATTTATACCATGCAATAAAATATTAAATAATAATGATAAACAACTTTGCTACAAAAGAAAGAATATTAGATAATAAATATATTTATTCGAAACACAGTTTTTTTTTTGGCCAAAATATATTCCAAATAATAATAATAATATACATATGTATTTCTTTCTTTCTTTCTTTCACATGTCTCACCTAAAATTCTTCTTGAATAATAAAAGTATCCAATTTGGATCTCATCGTCGTTTCAAGTCCCACGTCAAAAACCGTGCACAAAAGAGACATGAAGCAAATTTATATTGAATCTCATTGCTATTTTATATTGTTAAAGAATTATATTTGAATAGTGTCATCAAATTTACCAAATTTCAGACTGCGATGAAAATATGTTTCGGAATTCTCTTCAACTAACATTGCATCTATTTCAAATGCTCCATAACCATGAAAGCAAGCATCGAAGTTTTATGCTTATAATGTCAAAAAATAGGGATTTAAAATTGGATCTATAAAATCCCCCAAAATCATTGAGTTTAATTTCTTCAAAATAAAATAAAATAAATATTAATTTAAAAATTAAACATTCAAGAACATATGAAGGCCAGGAAATTCCAAAATATGCAATCATGTCCAACAACAAATAATTGGGTCCTAAATCATATAATCTAGGCTTTGATACCAAATGTAAGAATTTTATAAAATATGATTATATAAAATTAGAACACCAAAAGATTCAGGCTTATTTGTTGAAGACATGATTCTTGATTTCTTGAAGGCTTCTTGTTTACTTTGATGCTCATGCAATGGAAAGACTAGGATCTTCCTGTGCAATTCATACCACTCCCTGATCACAACCGTCGATGAGGCGAGTTGTGGAGTAACGGTTTTCTAACACGTTGTGAATACAGAGGGGACCTAGCCAAACTTATTAACACTAGTCCCCTTCCCATCATGGGCCTATGGGTTAGGCCTACACTGTTACCCACACTAATCAGTTTACAGATAACCAAGCCCAAATCAAAAGGATCACTAATTAACTGAGTTTTATACTGCACCCCCTATGTATTATGATTTAATTCGTTTTTATTAAAACAAGAAAAACTACAATTGATTGAAGCCCACAATTATTATAAAAATTTCTAACAGTTAAAACAAGTCATGACACACAGGTCAACCCGCAACATGACACGAAAATTTGTGTTCGTGTTGGGAAAAATGATCCACAAAAAATATGGGTCGTGTTGCGTGTCAACCCATATTTTTTTAGTTATTTATTATTATTATTAATTATTTTTTAAATCTCAATCTATTTTTAAATTTTTTTTGCTCAATTATCATTTATACCCTTATTTTGCGTGTTGTGTCGTGTTCGTGCTGATGTATTCGTGTTATGTCAAATTCGTGTCGTGTTAACCCGTTTTGATATCCCTCAATGGTATCAGAGCCTTCCAGTATGTCTCCCAAAAGCTAGCTCATACACTGAGAGTGTCCAAGGACTTATAAATCCCACGTTAGGTTCCCATATAATTAATGTGGGACTTCAAGCCTCATACCTTGCAAATGGAATTCTAGGTGAGATATTTCAAGTAGGGTCTTTTCTACGTCTGCATTGTAGGGAACTTAAATAGATATTTCTTTTAATGTTTTTATTTTTAAGATTTACTAAAACATGTCTCTAACATCATGATTTATGAGTGTTATTTGTGTTGAAGATTTTGACAAGAATAAAAATTCATGTCGTGTTCGTGTTATGTCAAATTTGTGTCGTGTTAACCCGTTTTAACATCCTTAAAAGGTGTTAGAGTCTTCCACTATGTCTTCCAAAAGCTAGCTTATAGGGTGAAAGTGTCTAAGAACATGTTTGGTGCATAGTATAGGATAAGGCCTGATAGTATAAGACCTGATAGTATATGGCCTGATTGTATAAGACCTGATTGAATTTTAATACTATCCAGCGTTTGACACGGTGTTGTATAAAATAATATGATCTAATATTTGATAATATACTGTATAATACTATATATGATAAAAATAAATATTTTTAATAAAAATATCCTTTAATAAAGAATTTATATAATTCTTCAAAAAATATCATATGATATTAATTTTTATAAAAATTTATTGATCAGTGTGTCCGAAATATAAATTAATTTTTATAAAAATTAAAATATTCAATATTTTAAAAATTAATATATTGAAAAATTAATTTTTATTTTAATAGATTAATATTAAAATAATATATTAATTTTTGAGAATTACATTGGTCAACGATGCTAATACATCAATCTCTTATCAGGCCTTATCCCTTACCCTTAGGCCGGATTAAGTTATACATCGTTTTGATGTATTAAGGGATTATGCTGTATAAGCTTATACTATACGATGGTCATACCAAACAACTGAAAATGTCATAACGTATAGTATAAGCTTATACTATCATGCCTTATACGTTACACCAAACAGGCCCTAAGGACTTATTAACCTCACATTAGTTGTCCATATAACCAATGTGAGACTTCAAGCCTCATACCTTGCAAATGGGATCGTAGGTGTTCGTGCTGATGTATTCGTGTTATGCCAAATTTGTATCATGTTAACCCGTTTTAGCATCCCTAAATGGTATCAAAGTCTTCCACTATGTATCCCAAAAGCTAGCTCATAGAGTAAAAGTGTCCAAAAACTTATAAAATCCACATTAGTTGCTCATATAATCAATGTGAGACTTCAAGCTACATACCTTGCAAATGGGATTGTAGGTGAGATATTTCAAGTAGAGTCTTTTCTGTGTCTGCATTGTAGGAAACTTAAATAGATATTTCTTTTCATGATTTTATTTTTAAGATTTACTAAAACATGTCTTTAACATCATGATTTATGAGGGACATATTAGTACACAACTTTATAATTAATATAAACATTATATATGCAATATATATATATATATATATATATATATCTATATATATATAGTTTAACATTTTTAAAAAAATATTTTTTATTTTAAATATGGAAAATATATTTAAATTTATATGTTTATATTAGTCAACGGTGCAAAGTAACCAGTACCCGTGGTCGGGCTTGATAACACCGAAGAAGAACGCACCGTCACCAACACCGTTTTGTGGCTTCATGTCATTTCCATTTTGGGATCATTATTTCTCTCTTTTCTTTCCTTTCCCTTTATAAATTTGCTGATCCTTTTGTGTTGTGTGTGTGTGTGTGTGTGAGAGAGAGAGATTCAACCTAACAAGAAACTAAGATGGCACAAGTGAAGAACAAACAAGTGATTCTGAACGATTATGTTTCTGGTTTTCCTAAGGAAACAGACATGAACATTGTTGAAAGCACCATAACTTTGAAGCTTCCAGAAGGTTCCAATGAGGTTTTGCTCAAGAACCTCTACTTGTCTTGTGATCCATACATGCGGATTCTTATGAACAAACCCGATGGCCCTTCTCTTGGTCGTAGCTATGACCCTTCCTCTGTAAGTCACGTTTTCTATTATGTAACCCTTTTGAGTAAATATGCTAAAAAAATGTTACCCTTTTGATTAAATGTATAGTTGCATACTTAAAAATTGTAACTTGTGTTGGATTATGGTATTGAAAAACAATGGTGGCACTAAACTAGCATATTCATGGATCTTATTTTATATTAACTCTAGCTGTTTAACTTCTTCTTCTTCTTTTTTGAATTTTTTTTGAAATTTTGAATTTTTTTGTATAAAATAGTTTTGTTTGCTGAGAACTTTGAGAATTCGAGGGAATTGCTGCATATTAAGAAGTGGGTTGTGTGATTTGTGCTTAAAAATTTAAACTTTATAGTTTGTAATTAGCATTTTAGTATTTATGTTATTATTTTTTTAATTGAGAGTGAAATTAATCATAGAATGTGAAACATTGAGAATACATTTTAAGCATGTATTTATGCAGCTACTGATAATTTTGTGTGTAATCGCAGCCATTAGGAGGATATGGTGTGGCTAAAGTCCTGGAATCTGGACACCCTGATTATAAAAAAGGTGATTTAGTGTGGGGTGTTACTAAGTGGGAAGAGTATAGCTTGGTCCCCTCAGCTCAAATACTTTTCAAAATTGAGAACACTGATGTTCCACTTTCCTACTATACTGGAATTCTTGGTATGTATTCAACATTTTCAATTTATATTGATTCTTAGTGAAGGATGCACCTGATGTCTGTATGATCTGCAAGCCTCAACTTAATAAGTTTTCATGTGAAGGATGCATTTTGTTCCTATATGCCTTCTGCATTTTCTTCTTTTTTTCAATGAAGGTTGTATGGCTGGAATTGTTCCTTAATTCATTAAAATATTTCTCCTTTCTTTGTATGTATTCCATGATTTCAGTTTTTATTGATTCTGAATGAATGATGTACTTGATATTGATGCCAAGGTCAACTGCAAGTTGCAAATTATGGAATTTTTATGTGATAAGTTGACCCTCATCTTGGAAGAAACCTATTGCGTAGGTGGTGGCTATCTGGCTGTTTGTTCGTTATGCATTTTCCATTTTCTTCTTTTGTTCAGTGATGGGTATATGGCTTGAATTGATCTTTTGATTCATCAGAGTATCTGGATTACGAGCTTCATTTTGGAAGAAAAAAAAAATGACTTTTATGCTCATTTGGAACCAAAAGCTCAATGCTTTTTTTGTATATCTGTCACAGCCACATCTCAGTGATAAACTCCAATGAGCCTATAGAGTTTAAATTGTAGTTTTATTAGTTTTTATTTTCTGATTATACGTTCTGCTTCTTCAGATTTAATATTGGCGAGCATGCTAGCAAGCTTTTGTTAGTTATGTAGCTTTTTTCATTGTATGAAGTTTTCGTTTGATAATTGGACTCCTGATATTCTTGTATCATTAAGATTATGGGTTAGCCATCATAGAAGAAACCTATGGTGTAGAATGTGGTTTTCTAGCTGTCTTTTCCCTATATTCCTTTTCCATTTTCTTCTTTTGTTCAGTTAAAGTTATTTGGCTTGAATTGATCTTTGATTCACTGGATTAATCGGCTGATCAGCATGGTTATGTTCGTTTGGAATTGATAGCTAATATTTTGTATGTCTATTGCAGCCACAACTCTATGGTAAACTCTTCTCAATTTATATTATACTTTTTTGTTTTATTTTTTTAATATTCTGAGTATACATTCTTCCTCTTCATTTTATTGTGTTTTGATTTGACCAATGTATGCTCATCTTTGAACACAGGTATGCCAGGAATGACTGCGTATTCGGGTATTTTTGAAGTAGGTTCTCTCAAGAAAGGAGAGAATGTTTTTGTTTCAGCTGCCTCTGGCGCAGTTGGTCAACTTGTTGGGCAATTTGCTAAACTGTCAGGTTGTTATGTCGTTGGAAGTGCTGGAACTAAAGAAAAGGTACTGTTTCAGCATCACCTATTCCTTATTTGTTCTGTAGTTTAAAATACTAGTGTTTTTCTTATCAGCATATATTTAGCTTATAAAAATATTTTTTCTTTCCGAGCTTGAGCAATATTCTCTTTTAAATAGATATATTTCTCAATGAAGACTTTGAGACATCTCGCATGCTTTTTTAAAAAAAAAAAAAATTCCATGATTATTGGTGGAATTAAAATACATTTCATTCCCTTTAGTCAATGGAATATCTAGTTACTTATGTCAAAAAAAATTATCCTCTATTATGTATACCCTTGCTCTAGTAAACTATTATCCAAATCCCTTCCCCTTATCCAAAGAAGGCGGAAGAAGAAATTTACAAAATGAATTGTGCCATAGATTAGAGGGCGAACCTAGAGCAGTGATAAAGCTGCTCCTCTATGACTAAAAGGTTGCAAGTTTGAATCCAGGAAACAATCTCTTTGCAAATATGTAAGGGTAAAGACTGCGCATAAAGATTGTCCTCACCTCTACCCTCGCTAATCGGGATTTAACGGGGAGAGGTTTTTTTAATTGTGCCATAGATTAACACTAGTACTTGTCTTTCTCCTAAATTTCTGTATAGATACAAATTGTTGTGAAGGATTATGATTACTAAGGGTCTGTAATAGATTCGTTTTACTAGAAACAAAAAATACTAAAGTCCTCCTTTCACTTGAATGTATCTATTTTTCAATCAGGTGGATTTATTGAAGAATAAATTTGGATTTGATGGAGGTTTTAACTACAAGGAAGAGCCTGACCTCAATGAAGCTTTGAAAAGGTCTGTACTTAACAGTTTTGTATTAGACATATTTAAATTAACTTTTCTTATGGCCATTAAAATTTGCACTACTATCCGTAGTAATAAAACACAGTAGTAACTAGTGTATGTCAATATACAAATCAGGCACTTTCTAGAAGGCATCGATGTTTACTTCGAGAATGTCGGGGGCAAGACACTTGATGCCGTACTCCTGAATATGAGAATCCATGGCCGCATACCCGTATGTGGAATGATCTCACAGTATAATCTTTCTCAACCTGAAGGTGTAACAAACTTGACATCTCTCATATATAAGCGGATTCGTATGCAAGGTTTTGTTGTAGCTGATTTCTATCACCTATATCCCAAATTCCTGGAGTTTGTCCTGCCTCTTATTAGAGAAGGGAAGATTGAGTATGTTGAAGACATAGCTGAGGGTCTTGAGAATGGCCCTGCAGCATTGGTTGGCCTTTTTAGTGGTCTAAATGTTGGAAAACAAGTGCTTGTTGTTGCTCGTGAATAAAAGCATTTGCTTTTTCTATACATTGTTATGTTATCAGTTTTTGTTCTGATTTTTGGTTGAAAATGTAGCAACATTTTATATCACCTTTGCAGTCATCTTACTGAACTGTATGATGATGTTTTTTTATTGCTGATTGTCTTGTGGGCAGTATCAATGTACTATATACTTGTTGCTCGTGAATAAAAAACATTTGCTTTTTCTATACATTGTTATGTCATCAGCTTTTGTTCTGTTTTTTTTGTTGTTGAAAATTTAGCAGTCTCTATGTTACTGCTGTTGCCTTGTGAACTTCTTCTTCTTCTTCTTCTTTTTTGGTGAACTTGGATTTGAACTCTAAGGGACAAGCACTTATTACCAGGGGCAGACCTACATTTGTGCAACTGTATCTATGCAATTGCAGACACAGTTTTGGGGAAACAAAAAAGAGTAAAGTATTTTTTGGATCCTAAACAAAATTTACGAGACCCAATTTAATCTCTTACGGAAAAAAAAAAACAATCGACTCGTGATTACTCAGCATTCCAAAATACACTCGGTTAGTCGAAATCGTGGTCTCTCTAAAATTTAAAGGAGACCCACACTAGTTTCTCAAAAGAATTAATATGGGTCTATTTTATAATTCAGAGGGACAACAAATCGACTTTTACTTTTTTTAAAGGATTAAATTGAGTCCCGTGATTTTTATTGAGGATCCAAAATATACTTTATTCAAAAAATAAAATAAAATTGAAGTTGAAGTTTTCTTTTCTTTTCTTATTTATATTCTTTTGTTTTTTAATACATTTAAAACTTTCATTAAAAAAAAAATTGTATATATTTTTTGTAAGTTGAAGTTTTCTTTTCTTGTTTGTATTAAAAAAATTGTTTGTATTAAAATTTTCTTGTTTTCTTTTCTTATTAATATATTTTGTAAGTTAAAGTTTTTTTTTTCTTGTTTATATTCTTTTATTTTTTAATACATTTAAAACTTTTATTAAAAAAAAAATTCGGAAATATGTCTTTAAGTGTGCAGACATAAATAAAATTTTCTACGTCTGCTGCTGCTTATTACCAACCCCAAATGACTCGGTATAAGTTTTAATGTAGGACATTCTTTTTTAGTTGAAAAATTGTCATATCTCTTTCGTGTACATATGGACAAAAAAAATCTTTGTATTTCCTTTATCAAATTAAATTACAAACTTATTATAAGGGATAATTACAAAGGAAGACAAGTATTCTTTTTATGAGAAAATAAAAACACGTCAATTTTAATTCTCTCGTCCCTTTTTCATTAGTAATGTGCCAGGGACAATTACAAACAATTCTCTCATCCTTCCTTCTCTGAGAGGCTTGATGGGAATATACTTATGAAGATGGACGTAAGGTGCATTGTAGGAGATTATATTCTACCAATAAGGTGGTATAATTAACTTTAGGTGTTTTTTTATTTGAGTAATAATCTCTCTTGGATTAAATCTATTTCATTATAGTTGATAGTTATTGATCAGTCCAACAAATATTGAACTGTGCCTGATCACACACGATCGAAGATAAAGGATGTTGATGAAGAGAAAGATTGTTGAGAAGTTAGTTTGTTGTGATGCTAAGGTTGCCTGATGAGATGAATGATTTGGGCTACTTGGGATATGAGCAATTTGGAGATATCTGCAAGGCATTTCGATGCTCAAATCAGTTCAATATTCAATATAGTTCAAGTATTTAAAGATAGATGATTTTACCTAGACTGAATGCCTTTATTTTACAGTGGGAGTATGCCTTTGCTTTTGATTCTTTTTACGGCTAACAAACACAAAAGCGAATTTGCTTGTAGTATCTACTTGCTTAGTTAATGAATATTTTTATTTTTGTAAGTAGTTAATGAATATTTTATATCATTTATTAAATACATCTAATTAGTTAAATAAATAATTTTTAATATAAAAATAATTTTAATATAATATTTAATTAGTACATTAAGAGTATACGTTAAATATTTTTTTACGTATTGCTTATTTGTTATAGTTAATTAAATGGTTGCATTTATGATTTGAAAAAAAATTTACGTGTCCGACACGGACACGCGATCAATATTTGGGGACACGCGGTCTACTCTTCGACACGTTCCGACACATTTTTTCGACACGCAGTCAACTTTCTCCGACACGTGGTCAACGCTTCGACACGTTTTTTTTTAATCTTAATTTTATTAACTAAATATAAAAAAAAATTATAAATTTTTTTTTGTTATGGAATTTTACATGAAAAATTATTTTTATTTATATTTATGTTATGAAATTTAAATATTTGATTGATTATAAAACTTATTATGGACTCTTATGTATTAAATATAAATTATATTATATATATATATATATTAAAATTTTTATTTAATATCAAAACGTGTCTTAACATGTCGAAATATGACATTTTTTAGAATTAACGTGTCGGCGTGTCGTGTCGTGTCGTATCCTGTGTCAGTGTCGGTGCATCATAGGCTCTCGATTTATTTAAAAATATTTGACAAGTAACTTTTATTTTTTTATTTCCAGAATTAGGATAAATTTTAAGGGTCTTTCACAATATTATACATTTTCAAATTCTTATTCAATAGGAACAGATTATTCCGGCCTGATATTGTCAAGAATTTCTTACTATTGCCTAGGTACAGGTTCATCTTCGAAGTATTTTTCCCTTCGAATTTTTGCAAAGTTGTGACAAAGGGTATAACTTGTACAAATATTTCCATTTTTCAATTCAAACCCATTAGAAAAGAAGGGACAATCTAGGAGAAAAAAGGGATATCATATTTTATATTATATATATATGTGTAAGTATATATGAACATCAACATCAACATCACCTTTATCCCAAATTAATTGGGGTCGGTGGCATTCTATATAGATGAACCCACATGAAAGATACAAAACAGTTGAAAAAGAAAAAAAAATAAAAATAAAAAAAATAAAAAATAAAATAAAAATAAAAATAAAAATAAAAAATAAAAAAAGTAAAAAAGAAAGGGACAAGAAGAAGTGGGGGAAATGAAGGGGAAAAGGACTAAAAAGGGACCATCTGGGACATAGGAATAAAAACGGGTCTAACCCTCCACCATACTTATAGCTTTTCTCCATTCCGTTCTAAGACATACCGTCCGCCAATCTATATCCCACTCCATTAAATCTTGTTTTACTACCTTCCCCCAAGTAAGTTTCGGCCGGTCTCTGCCTCTTTTTGTGTTGAGCTCTTGGTAACAAACTTCTGTTCTTACAGGAGCATCCAGGGGCCTTCTTATCACGTGCCCAAACCACCTCAATCTATGTTCTCTCATCTTCTCGGCTACCGGTACTACTCTGACCTTTCGTCGAATATCTTCATTTCTTACCTTATCCATCCTTGTGTAACCACACATCCACCTTAACATCCTCATCTCTGCTACTCCCATCTTATGCTCATGTTGCCTATGTGCTGGCCAGCATTCCGCTCCATATAGCATTGCCGGTCTTACTGCCGTTTTATAGAATTTTCCTTTTAACTTAAGGGGGATTTTGCGGTCACACAAAAACCCAGATGCACTGCGACATTTCATCCACCCTGCTCTGATTCTGTGATTTACATCCTCATCAATCTCTCCACCTTTTTGTAAAATGGAGCCCAAGTATTTAAAAGCATCTTTTTTGGGTACCTCTTGACCACTTAAATGCACGGGCTCTTGGTCCCCATCTCGTACCAGAGAAAACCCACACTTCAGATACTCAGTCTTGCTTCGACTTAATGTGAATCCTTTGGATTCCAATGTGCTTCTCCACAATTCAAGTTTTCTATTAACACCCTCCTTGCTCTCATCAATAAGCACAATATCGTCTGCAAAAAGCATACACCATGGCATTTCCTCTTGAATATCTTTTGTTAGTTCATCCATAACTAAGGCAAAGAGATAAGGACTTAGAGCCAACCCTTGGTGTACACCAACCGTGATAGGAAAATAACTTGATGTTCCGTTACAAGCTTTTACACATGTATATAGTAGCCCCATCATACATATCCTGGATTGCCTTTACATACTTTGATGGAACATTTTTCTTCTCTAGAACCCACCATAAAACTTTCCTTGGAACCCTATCGTATGCTTTCTCAAGGTCTATGAACACCATATGGAAGTCCTTCTTCTTTTCTCGGTATCTTTTCATAAGTTGTCGCATCAAGAAAATGGCTTCCATGGTACATCTTCCTGGCATAAATCCAAATTGATTTACAGAAACCTTGGTATCTCTCCTCAAGCGATGTTCAATAACCCTCTCCCACAACTTCATAGTATGGCTCATTAGCTTAATGCCTCTATAGTTTGAACAATTCTGATCTCCCTTGTTTTTGTAGATAGGCATAATCATACTTTTCCTTTAAGCATCAGGCATCTTACTTGTCTGGAGAATCTTATTGAAAAGATTGGTCGACCATTTTATTGCCACATCCCCTAGGCCTCTCCACACTTCAATAGGGACACCATCAGGCTCCAAGGTTTTATTAGTCTTCATCCTCTTTAAAGCCTCCTTAACTTCATGTGTATTAATTTTGCATACAAATCTTCTATTCATATCATTATATGCGTCCTCCAAGTCCACCTCGCTTGTATCTCCATCCCCATTAAACAGCTTGTTGAAGTAGTTCAACCATCTTTCATTTACATCTTCATCTCTCACCAGAAGTTTTTTATTTTCATCCTTGATGCATCTAACTTGGGTGAGGTCTTTACTTTTCTTATCCTTTATCTTTGCAAGTTTATAAATACCTCTTTCACCATCCTTGCTCCCAAGATTTTTATACAACTCGTCGAAAACCTTGCCTCTAGCTTCTCGCATTGCTTTCTTTGCATTTTTTCTCGTCAATCTAAACTTTTGCAAGTTCTCTCTCTCTATATATATATATATATATATATATATATATATATATATATATAAATTATTTCTACAATCACTTTAGATAAGGTTATCTACAGCTACCAAAAAACTACGTCGTTTTGATTAATGAAGGGTGTTTTTGTAATTTTAGGTGAATTAATGAAGGGTTTTTTTTTTTGTAATTTTGTTTATTATTTAATCATATACATTTTATTGAAATACCCTTTATTAATTCACCTAAAATTACAGAAACACCCTTCATTAATCAAAATGACGTAGTTTTTAGGTAGCTATA